GACATCGGTGGTGATAGTGTAACCCTTATTTCTAGTTCTAAAGCAGGTTATTATGGATTCCAGCTATAGAAAAAGAAAAGTATTTGGTTTAGTCAATAAACCAATCAATAGGAGAATTCTATACAGTACTGTATAGTATAGTTTGACATTAAACAATAACAGTACTGTGGAGTGTGATGTTAAACAATAACAGTACTGTGGAGTGTGATGTTAAACAATAACAGTACTGTATAGTTTGACATTAAACAATAACAGTATTGTAGAGTCCGACTTTAAACAATAACAGTACTGTATAGTTTGACATTAAACAATAACAGTACTGTATAGTTTGACATTAAACAATAACAGTACTGTATAGTTTGACATTAAACAATAACAGTCCTGTAGAGTCCGACATTAGAGTTTGATGTTAAAGAATTACAGTACTGTGGAGTTTGATGTTAAAGAATTACAGTACTGTAGAGTTTGATGTTAAACAATAACAGTACTGTGGAGTGTGATGTTAAACAATAACAGTACTGTAGAGTTTGATGTTAAACAATAACAGTACTGTGGAGTTTGATGTTAAACAATAACAGTACTGTGGAGTTTGATGTTAAACAATAACAGTACTGTGGAGTGTGATGTTAAACAAAAACAGTACTGTGGAGTGTGATGTTAAACAATAACAGTACTGTGGAGTGTGATGTTAAACAATAACAGTACTGTGGAGTGTGATGTTAAACAATAACAGTACTGCGGAGTATGATGTTAAACAATAACAGTACTGTGGAGTGTGATGTTAAACAATAACAGTACTGTAGAGTTTGATGTTAAACAATAACAGTACTGTAGAGTCCGACTTTAAACAATAACAGTACTGTAGAGTTTGATGTTAAACAGTACTGTAGAGTTTGATGTTAAACAATAACAGTACTGCGGAGTATGATGTTAAACAATAACAGTACTGTGGAGTTTGATGTTAAACAATAACAGTACTGTAGAGTTTGATGTTAAACAATAACAGTACTGTAGAGTTTGATGTTAAACAATAACAGTACTGTAGAGTCCGACTTTAAACAATAACAGTACTGTAGAGTTTGATGTTAAACAGTACTGTAGAGTTTGATGTTAAACAATAACAGTACTGCGGAGTATGATGTTAAACAATAACAGTACTGTGGAGTTTGATGTTAAACAATAACAGTACTGTAGAGTTTGATGTTAAACAATAACAGTACTGTAGAGTTTGATGTTAAACAATAACAGTACTGTAGAGTCCGACATTAAATAATAACAGTACTGTGGAGTGTGATGTTAAACAATAACAGTACTGTGGAGTTTGATGTTAAACAATAACAGTACTGTAGAGTTTGATGTTAAACAATAACAGTACTGTAGAGTTTGATGTTAAACAATAACAGTACTGTAGAGTTTGATGTTAAACAATAACAGTACTGTAGAGTTTGATGTTAAAACAATAACAGTACTGTAGAGTCCGACATTAAACAATAACAGTACTGTGGAGTGTGATGTTAAACAATAACAGTACTGTGGAGTTTGATGTTAAACAATAACAGTACTGTAGAGTTTGATGTTAAACAATAACAGTTAAACAATAACAGTACTGTAGAGTTTGATGTTAAACAATAACAGTACTGTAGAGTTTGATGTTAAACAATAACAGTACTGTAGAGTTTGATGTTAAACAATAACAGTATTGTAGAGTCCGACATTAAACAATAACAGTACTGTGGAGTGTGATGTTAAACAATAACAGTACTGTGGAGTTTGATGTTAAACAATAACAGTACTGTGGAGTTTGATGTTAAACAATAACAGTACTGTATAGTTTGACATTAAACAATAACAGTACTGTATAGTTTGACATTAAACAATAACAGTACTGTGGAGTTTGATGTTAAACAATAACAGTACTGTATAGTTTGACATTAAACAATAACAGTACTGTATAGTTTGACATTAAACAATAACAGTACTGTAGAGTCCGACATTAAACAATAACAGTACTGTAGAGTTTGGTGTTAAACAATAACAGTACTGTGGAGTGTGATGTTAAACAATAACAGTACTGTGGAGTGTGATGTTAACAGATCTTGTGAATAGCTATGACAAAGAATCATATAAGAATATTTTACTCTGAACTGTCACTCACAAGAAATATGTCAGAAGACTTAAGACTTTAAGATAATACATTTATTAGATATGAATTTAGAAGTTGAAAATATAAGGTAAAGGTAAATTGAAGAAAATCGTTGTAAATACATTATATTTATTTGTAAAATGAACATCATAAACAGAAGGATATATGTATTTCATAAAATTGTATGGACAGAATATGTGTGAATTTTTCACCAAAAGGACACTTGTTATTTTTTTTGCCTAATATGTATAATATTTGTATGTTTTATATTAAATTTATTATAGATATTTGAAAGAATATTATATATTTGGGCTATAAGACATCCTGCCAGTGGTTATGTTCAGGGTATTAATGATTTAGTTACACCGTTTTTTGTTGTCTTTCTTTCTGAATTTATAGATAATGGTATGTATCAACTTTCAAACTAGCAAGAATTATCCAAAATTGAAATTCATTTTCTACATTGAGAGTTTTATAAAAACAATTGCTGGAATAGGCAGAAAAATGTCCTGTCGTCTGTCAAATAATTCCTCTAAGAGAATGCACATGTTGAAAATCTAATGTTAAAATACCATACTATGTGAAGTCTATTAGAAAGAAAAGAAATATTAGATTAGCCCTTTGATTTGTTGCTAGCCTTTCACACATTATTTGTGACCCCATTTGTTTCACTTTTAAAGAAAAGAAGGCCAATTTCTCCAATTTGTAGAACTCTGTAAAATTTTAGTTGCAGCCTTTATTCTCTGCCTATGCATTTCTAACAAGGACTTTAAACTTCATTTCAAATTCCGGCGTTTTTATCTATTTTATAGATATTGAACTAGAAAACTGTGATTTAAGAGAATTACCAAAGTCTATATTAGATATTATAGAAGCTGATAGTTTCTGGTGTACCTCTAAATTACTGGATGGTATACAGGATAACTATACTTTTGCTCAACCTGGTATCCAGATGAAAGTAAATGCCTTACATGAACTTATCAAACGAATTGATGGTAGGTCCACTGTTCCTCTTACGTGTATTGCAGTTTTAGAATATAGGGAACTAGAGCTTATAAAAATGATACACAAACACCAAGACTGTCAGTTTTGAATCGTTTGAATAACCATAATATGTATGCTTCATTCTTTATAATATGGTTTATATTTATATAACAGAACATATTTTTATGGTATACTACTTTGTATACAAAGTTTTAATTATCATCAAGTGAAATGATTTGTTAAAATGTTGTGTACAATAAAACTAAGCTATAGTATACCATAAAATTGTATTCCGTTATATTATGTGATCTCTTCCCCTTTAATGTTGCTTCAGGATTGTGGGTAACATTTCTTTGACTTTTTATATGCCTACATGAAATGGGGGGCGTATATTGCCGTCACCCATGTCCGTCCATCCGTCCACAATTGCTCGTAAACACTCTACAAGACACAATTCTTGACGGATTTTGACAAAATGTTTGTAATCAACCAAGGATGAACCGTATTGAAAATCTGAAGAATCGAAAAATTTAGTATAAGTTATTGCCCTTGTTCTTGAAAACACGTTCAATTTTTAGCTGGTAAACACATTGGAAGGGACAATTCTTGATGGATTTTAACGAAACTTGGCATGAGTGTTTGTAATCACCCAAGGATGAACCCTATTGAAAATCTGAAGAATCGAAAAATGTTTAGTATAAGTTATTGCCCTTGTTCTTGAAAACGTGTTCAATTTTCAGCTGTAGAAGGCACAATTCTTGATGGATTTTGACGAAACTTGGCATGAGTGTTTGTTATCAACCGAGGATAAGCCCAAAATCAAAGCTGCCCTTGGTCGTATATTACCTTTCCTGGCAAGCTTTCTTTACTCTTTGCCATTAAATATTAAAAATGGCTATGAGATTTAAGTTATTTTTTTATTTATTAGTAATTGTATATTCATATGTTTTCAGCTCCTTTAAATACACATTTAGAAAACCATTGTGTAGAATATCTTCAGTTTTCATTTCGCTGGATGAATAATTTATTAATGAGGGAGATACCATTAAGGTGCACAATAAGACTCTGGGATACCTATCTTGTATGTATAATATTTTATAAAAGTTTCCATATTGGGCATATCATCAAAGTAATCTTTACCATCAGATCATCAAACATAAGCAAATATCAAAAGGACAATTTTTGACATATTGCAGTCTTTAACTTAGATATTAGATAAACACATGCCTTTTTATATGTAAATGTATTGTAAGCACCCGTGTCTGTCAGTCCATGGATTTTGATAAAACTTGATATCTTTGTTGATAGTTCAAAGATACTGTTTCTCCTGAACTTCCCACCAATGTAATTTAACAGATGATGTCCAATTTAAGATTGGGAAATACAAAGTGAATATGAAATAATGTTTGTCCTTTAATATTTTCTTGGTTATATTGAGTTATTCCAATTTTTCAGTCAGAAGTAAATGGTTTTGCAGATTTTCATTTATATGTTTGTGCATCATTTGTTGATTATTTTTCTAAAGATATACAAAGAGAAAAGGACTTTCAGGTTGGTTGTCTACATTTTGTGATATTTTGTCTACACTTGGATTTGAGTGATGTTTCGTCAATATTTTTCATGTTTTTATTGTCCACATTCATGTGATGTTTCACATGATATTTTGTCAATATTTCCCATGATATTTGGACAATAATTCACATGATATTTTGTCAATATTTCACATGATATTTAGTCAATAATTCACATGATATTTTGTCAATATTTCACATGATATTTTGTCAATAATTCACATGATATTTTGTCAATATTTCACATGATATTTTGCCAATATTTCACATGATATTTTGTTAATATTTCTCATGTTTTTTGTCCACATTCATATGATGTTTCAAGTGATATTTCATCAACATTTCACATGTTATTTTATTAATATTTCACATGTTGATTTTTTTTTTGTCAACATTCATGTGATGTTTCATAAATTATGACTTTTTTGATAGTGATATTTAAGTGTGAAGAAAAACATTTATCTTTTCTTCTTTTTCAGGGAATTTTAATGTTTTTACAAAATTTACCAACACATCATTGGAAAGATAAAGATATAAGTGAACTTTTAGCAGAAGCTTTTAAACTAAAATATATGTTTGCAGATGCTCCAAAGCATTTAAATCAGAAGTCTTGATATTAACATGGCAATATTTGTATAGTGTATTATGTATGGGAATGTGATGTTTTTAGTAGTCAATGCAAAGTATGAAGTAAAAAATAGATCTGGAATGTCGCTCAGATTTTGATAGCTGTTGAGGGAATTCAGGTGTTTGTAGTCCCAGGCCTGGAAAATATGGCAAAAAAAAAATATAAAGCTTATACTCCTGGTGCATCTTGTTCAGTACTATTATCATATTTTTGTTCAGAAAAATTAACAATATATGAGTATTAAATGTATAAAAACACCAGAATTACAGCTATAGTAAAGAGAATCAACCAAATTTCCTATTTTACAGCTCTTGTATGTGATAAAAATATTTGTGCCAACTGAGAATTGATACCAAATGTTATTATAAAGAATATATTTACTTGTTCCTTGAATTTTTAGAGGTCAGAACTACTCATTGTTACCTATAGTCTGATATGCATGTAGAAGGCTTTGAAATTATTTCCACACAAAGTGGTACTGATTTAGTTATATTAAAAAATGGCCTGTGTTGACTCATATTGAAATCAAAGTAGGATTTATTATTTTGGAAGTGTTAAGAAAATCATGAAAGATAATTCTTTTAAACGTTTTACATATACGTTAGTGCTCTTGATCTTTTTGTGCTCAAAACTTGTGCTGTTAAAGGGGCCCTCACTTCATAGAGATCACCAGTTGCTTATGGTTGCGAATAAGAATAGCAGTCATAATTTTGTATGCATATGAGTTGTGAGTTGCGTTTGGAACTTGGAGCCGCTTTTCATTATTCACAACCATTTTGGCAACTGGTGTGAAGGCATATTAAAGTTATATTGTGAATGATATCAAGCTTATGATATAAAGTGCAGGATATCATATAAAAAAGATAATAATATTCAATAATTTTATATATTATATGCATGACCTCTGAACCGAGTTAGCATTTAACTTAATTGATCTGATAACATAATATTTCTTTGGTCAGTATAAATATATATTTAAAAATTATGCATAAATGAACATATATTTGCATATTAAACAAGTGGGCAAAGTTATGATGGGCTATTATGAATATTAGACTGTAGTCCATGACTCATCCTAGTGATCATGGACAGTTGGCATCTTCTGTGCTATTCTTGATTGTATAATGAAAATGCAAAGTTAACCATGAAAGTTAAGTTGATAATTGATAATCGTGAGTAAAATACCATCTTCTCAATGTCAAGATATTATGAAATGTTTTAAATCCTTAACATCATTAGGCACTTGCCTTGTATCACAAAATGCAGCGATTTGAATTGAACTAACATGTAAACCTAGCCTATATATAAATTGTTAAATTATTATGAAATATAGGGTATTATATAAGATATCATATACCTTACTGTAAATTAATGTAAATTTATGATAAATACTCTAAATATGGTATTGTAATATATGTAATTAATATATATATATATTCCAAATATGATGGCTTTTTCTTATTACCAGTTACTAAAATTTACCATCGAGGCTAGTCGGATTATTGACCGTTTAAACCCCAGCAAAACACTTGATTAGTCATTCGAAGATTCAAATGCCACGTGAGAGCAGTTCACTCAACCGACGATTTACTTGAAACTTTGGTAGTCAATCGATGACAGTCGTTCACCAATATTTTATCGTTAGTGGGATCAAAAGAAATTGCGTGCCAAGTCAGCAACTGTTTGGAAATAAGGAGGATGTTACCGTCAACCATGTGCATGTCCATCCACCGACATGTCTCGTGAGCACTATAGAAGTTACAGTTTTCATGATTTTGACGAAACTTGGTATGGACATGCAGAACTATTAAAACCTTTACATTGAAAGTGTTTGAATGAACGGTAATCTTGTTATTTCCCTTCATATCGATATCATATCAAAAGCAACTATGTGATTCATTAACAAGACATTTTCAGATTTATAAATCATATTTGCAAGTCGGATTCGGGATGGCATCAACCTATTTAAGGTTTAAGGGGACATTCTATAAGGTGATCTTGTTTACTCAGTGTGTATTGGACTGTCGTCTGCTAGGTGATTTGAGTTCACTTTGAAACTTGGAGGCTGCCCATGGTTGCGAGATCAATCCTGGTATATGTATTGAGATCCCTATAAATAGTATTAAAGGAAGTTTCAACACGTTTAGTCAACTAACCTCATTATTACCTGTGTAATATCATTTCAAAAATGTTATTTACTACAAGTTCCTTGTTTACTTAGCCTGACCCCTACATACCTTTAACTGAAACCTAACAGTAACATCACCCAACGTCATTTTATAACAGAGATAGTGCACGCTTCAATTAGCTTTCTTACTTCTCTACTAAAGCCCGCTGTGACATTATAGGGTCGATATTTTGAACTCTTAAGTGACATTTTACCCTAAAATCCTTTAAAACGGGTTCATATTTAGGTCAAAGTGGACTGTTCAGCCTATTTTATGTGGATTTATAAGAAACAAACTAGTTACCTGGTATAAACTAGATTTACTATTAAATTTGCATATAAATATATCAAGGGATATGTGAGGTTTTAAAACTACCTGTTATCATCAAACAGTAAGTAAATTTCATATTTTTTCAATACATCACACCTGGTCATATGTTTTTGTTTATGTCACGTATGACATGGTTAGCTGGTCTGGTCATTTTAGACCAAATAAATACCTTAAAAGATACAGGTGACAACTGTGTACATGCTATTGGTTTAACAGGCCAAGTAAGTCTTTTCTAACCACAAAAAGTAGTCATTTTGAAGTACATCATAAATGCAAGCTTGATCTGTTCGAGATAGTTCTATTCTATTTGCATCCTGTGGGAAAAATAAATGTATTTTCGAGTTGTAATGTTCTTTTTTCGAATTTTCGAGAGAAAAAATTTAAATGACCTTAATACTCTTTCATAATTTTATATAATCCGAAACCATTTCATAAGATACTTCTTCAAACTATCTCATACAATCCTTATATAAACCTGGACAACTTTTATACTATCCAAAACTATTTCATACAATCAGAAACTATTTCATACAATCATGGACGATTTTTAAACAATTCTGGGCAACCTGTATACAATCCGAAACTGGTTTTTACAATGCTCAGCAATTATTTTACACTGTCCTGAATTGTGTTGTATTCAATCCACAACTATATTTCATAATTATTTCAATGCATTTTCAGTCAAGAACTATTTTATAGAATCTTGAACTATTATTTACAAGCTTGAACTATTATTTACAATCTTGAACTATTATTTACAATCAAGAACTAGCATACTCTATTTTATTTTATTGATGAATCATTACAGGCAATCTATTAATTGTGTTATTGATATGAACAATGTAGTTCCAGTAATGGTATATCTGCCATTATGTTGCTGAAAGTATTTACATGCTTTATATATGCTGTACTGATGCCAATCCCTAGCTTCTCAGAAGGTAAGTCGTCATTATAAACATAATTTAAATGAATAATCTTTACTAATGTTCTCTTGAATAGACATAATTCGTCATATGGTTTTCTTTGTTAACAGAATTTTGTTAAACTTTGTGACCTTATGAGCTCAGTCAACTGCTCTTGACACTACACAATGACAAACTATTATCAAGTTCAAGTTCCTTGACTGCAATAGCAACTATTCTTGTATCACGGAATGCTGTGATTTGACTGGATTGTGAATGTGAATGAAACCAATCAGGGCTCTCTGTGAATATTATGGCTTTATGTTTACAGACTTTCTGTAGAGGTCTTTGATTGGGGGTATTCGCCAGCGTACAATCCAATCAATTCGTTTCATTTACAAACTTTCAGGTACAAGAACGGTGACTAATGCAGTCGATGTATAAATACCAAGTTCGTAATACCTTGACATTTTGAGAGTACCGCTCTTGTTGTTCACGTCACTTTGGTCGTTTTTTTATGTTTTTTTTTAAAGTCAAATAAGTCCTGTTGTTTTCATTGATGTAGTGGTGTGACGTTTGAATTAGTATTATATAATAATATAATGGCAAGGTTAAGGTGACTATATTGACTATGATGAAATTGTACTTGACTTAGTAATAAAAACGTTCATAAGATAGGTTGATAATCCGATAAAGAGGGTAGATTGTCTGATAATTTTGCAAGAGTTATTAATCTTTGACTAAACCGAGTATAATATCAAGCTGTCGGCTTCTGACCATTGACTTTTAAAATTAAGACGAGTTCGAAGAGGAAACTATTTCTATGAACGGTTTCTTAGTTATTGCCCTTGAATTAATAATCAAGCCATTCATCTGAATGTCGGCGTGCTGGATTATAATAAGAGTTTTCATTCAAAACGTTGTAATATATTTTAAAACAGATACAGTGGATGCATGTATATTCTAAAACATCTCAAATGTAATTTTTATACGAGGTAGAAGGCTATAATGCTTATCAAGTTTCATCAAAATCTTTTTATTATGAAGTATCAAGAAAACGATATATTATATATTATATTGAAAGTTCACGTGAGCCTTCATTCATCAGGTGACATTAGTCCATTCAGCCCTTTAATTACTATACAACGGAAGAGGGTTACTGGTTTGAGACGGTTTATTCCGGTTCAATCTGAAACGGGTTGGTATTTACCCTTGTAATTACGTAAGACGTGTTCCTCAATACATGTTACTGACTGTTAAGTATATTTTAAAGCGACCTTTATCAAGTGCTAATTCAGTTGAAGTCAATATCATTTGTGGTGATGAGAATAAAGTCCTCGTCTGGTCATATAGAAAAAGTAAATATGTAGGTCTCTATATCGGGCGGCCAAATAGTTATGTTTCAATTTGAACCTATACTAGATACATAAGTATTGCACCTATCTTTAACAATATATTGTGTATAAGGCTATACCGATGTGCTTTGTAATCATGCTGATATACAGGTGTACAGGCACGTATCATTGTTAATGGTTGAAACCATTTAGGCGTAGTTGACTTTTTGTTATCGGTAGAGCTAGAACGTTCTTTTTCAATTAAACCCAATACGTTTGTATTTTCCGGGATATCAGTTTACACTCTTTTGAGCTTATATTTTTGCCACTTTTCTTTACTTAGAATTCAATTAAGTTTGTGCTGTGGTTTCCATTTCTGATTAGTTCATTGACATAGACAACATCTTTAACATAAATCTCCGTAAATGATCTGAATGAATTTCGACAAGACGGACTGAAGCCCAATCGGTTAGAGTGTTAGAATATCTACATAACGTCATTTACTTGATTACGTCGACTAAATGGTGGTCGTGGGTTGTATGAAAGTCCAATGATATTTTTTCCTCATCATTCTTCTCCACCCCGGCGGCCCAACTGTAAATGGGTACGGATAATCCTGGAAAGGAAAAATGGAAGACAAGATCATCATGACCTTTAGTTCATATCCCTGAAAAAATGTTGTTCCTTTCTTTCTAATCAGCAAAATGAATTGTCGTATCCACTCTCCGAATATCTCACATGTCTCTGTAATAAAAAAGGAACCAGCTTTTATTTGATCCACATTAAAATATGAACTTTCGAGGTATATGGATAGTCTGATCAATATGTGCGACATATTTGAGGGTCATATTTTTGGGTCATTGAATATGATAAAACATTATTATGTTCCAGGCTAACAAACTGCTTCGCATGTTGTTTCTGTTTTAGTGAAACACGATAAATTCAGTCAAATTCAAAATCTCTTTTTTGTCATTTCTCGTGGGCGTATGCAACCTTGTCTGACAAGCTATTTATAATTTCATTTCAGATATGACTAATTCATCGACATTGTTTACTACATCTATCATACCAGTTAGATTAGACACGGATGATGACATGGGATCCGATGACAACATGTAAGTTAATGTAAATGGTTGTCTGCAATCTAGTCAAGATTAGATTACAATCTTGTTCTCTTTTTCCTTTCTGATACATTTCGTCCCCATTGTAATCTAACAAGCTTTCTACAGTAGTCCCGTTCAAATGAGGTTATTTGTAACCAATCAAAGCGTGTAATAAGACCCATAACAACGACGTCGGATTTTTGGAAAATAGATCCTATAGTAGAGTAATATGCTATCAAGAAACGGGTCTCACATGACACACTTTGTTCAGTTCAAATACGAATGTGTCCTTGTTAGATTGCAATGAAAACGATAAATTATGTCAGAAAAAAAGAGAGATACGAAATAATAATCTATTTTCTATTAGATTCTATATTTGTGTTAATGTTAAGTTTGTAGAAAGTGCATTAAGCACTTTCAATAGATCAATAGAATTCTAATATGTGTATGAGTTTGACGAATCAGGATAGATTTTCTTTTCTTCAAATTGAAAAAATTTGAAGGTGGTTTAAATGTAAAAAGCAACCGTTTTCACCTGGTGATTGAATAGGACATGGACTCACCATCATGCCTATAATATGATGTATGCCTTCTTTTTGCAGGAATCTTGGAACCCAGGTGTTAATGGTAGTATATATTGGTGCTGCTGTTGTACTGTCTGTTGTACCTTTTGGCATTTATTTCTACATCACATGTAAAAAACTGGGTTTTGGTAAATTCTGTAAACGAGTATTGAATCGTTGCAGAAAGAAACCAAACACAGATGATGACACTTCAGTCGGTAAATATTCTTTGTTTTTTTTCATTTGACACGACCTTATTCCAATGGCAAATTCGGTTAATGGTAGCTTCAACATGTTGAGAAGTTTTGAAAACTTGGTAAAATTATAACACACAGTGCTAAAGAACCCATGACTCTGCAAGTAGGGGGTGGGG